AGGCCAGAATGCCATTGGCCCTCTTGGCCACCTGGGCACACTGCTGGCTCCTGTTCAGTCGGCTGGCCACCAACACCCCCAGGTCCTTTTCTGCCGGGCAGCTTTCCAGCCACTCTTCCCCAAGTCTGTAGCGTTGCCTGGGGTTGTTGTGACCAAAATGCAGGACCCGGCACTTGGCCTTATTAGACCTCATCCCATTGGCCTTGGCCCATTGATCCAACCCATCTAGATCCCTCTGTAGAGCCTTCCGACCCTCAAGCAGATCAACACTCCCACCTAGTTTGGTGTCATCTGCAAACTTACTGAGGGTGCATTCAATCCCCTTGTCTGGATCATCAATAAAGATATTGAACAAGACTGGGTCTTGTTTCCAAGGGTAAAGAGAAATTTTAGAAAGCATCTAGTACTTTATACATAACACAACCTGTAGAAATACAGGAGAAAAATTTGTGATGGCTTGTAATTTTTCTAATCTTTAGCTTTTCTTCTCGCATTGGGTACAGTACAGTTATTCAGTTTCTAGTCTATATGCAGTGATGCAGTTCTCCAGAGTTCCTATCGTACACATAGCGCAACGTCAGTTACATCCCAGTACTACTTAGTTCTCTGCCCATCGGTAAAGCATATAATGGAGTAATTAAGATGTGTATTCACTTAGGGACACCCCAAGGTGATTATGAATATAATTCTTGTTGCGATGTTTGGATCTAGTTTCAACTTGGAGTCTTCCAAAATTAATGTATGGAATATAAAGCTAAGTTTAGCTCATCTGAACTCAAAGAGGGGTTTGGTCTAATTTACTTAGTTAAGTTTTATTTTTTTTTTGGTAAAATTCCAGCTTACAAAAGTAGAATGGATTCACTTTTAAATTAGTTTGCAGAAATATCAAAAAGTTTTTTTACTGTCATTTAAATGCATGAAGATTTTGCTAATGGTTTGAGAAAATCATTGTTTCTGTGATGTTGGCTATAGATTAAAGTTTGAGGCCTAAAACTTGATCGAATTTTAGCTTTGGTTAGCTAAGAAGATTATGCCAAGTTGAAAATGAATTATAGCTGAACCAAACCTAGTAAAACAATGTCAATGTAGACATTAATTCTTGGTTTTCTCAGTTAAAGGTTTTTTTTTTGTTCACTTTAGTGATGGTGAAAGTGTAATATGAGACACAGGGAAGAAGGAAATGTTAAAAGGCAATGTATATATGTTTTTGTGATTCTAGAGCTATGGTGATATTTTTCGTTTTCAGGAGTTGGAGGAAAGATGTTACTATTCTTAGTTTATTATTCCTTAATTTACTTGGATTATTTAATGCATAAGCCTTGTAAATTTTGTCTTTGTTTGATGAGTGGAAAGACATCAGTTCAAATGATGACATACTTACAATCATAACCACGGTCATGCAGCCACTATAGTGGCTGCAGTTCATTCTTATATTCGTTCATGGCTTTGTGTTTTAATTGTAAGCAAACAGCTTGAAGTGGTTGTTTATCTAAGGTACCACAATCCTTTAAACTGTTCCCTGGTACAATGATTTACATAAGGGGCTGGGAGGCAGAGGATTTTGGAAAACCAAGGAAATCATGAATGGGAAAAGAAGATCTAGTAACTCCCTGAAAAAGATGACTCTTTGGGTCTAGCAAAGACCTAAAAGGCAACCTCACTTTTGGTTAAAGGCAGATGTTAGGGCTTGTGAAGTGTGTTGGGCTGAGGAAGGGGTAGGGGGAAAAAAAAAAAAAGCCAAGAAGCAATAAGGACTAGTTGATAAATGTAAACTAAGTTAGAGATGCCTATCATCAGGTAGCTAAATGTATGATTTAGTTTAGTAAATTACTTAGTGATTTTTTTCAATTAGTAATTTAAGAAGCTGCTTATCTTGACTTCTGTAAAAGATTTGTGGGGATATCATGCATCTCATATTAGGAAAAATTTCTTCACTGAAAGGGATATCAAGCATTGGGATGGGCTGCCTGGGGAAGTGGTTGAGGCACCATCCCTGGAGATATTCAAAAGATGAGTTGACATGGTGCTCGGGAATATGGTTTAGTGTTGGTTTTGGGGCTTTTTTGTCAGAATTAGGTTGATGGTTGGACAAGAGGATCTTAAAGGTCCCTTCCAACCTAGGTAATTCTGTGATTCATCCTATCAGGAAAACTTAAATGATGGTTGTGTTCAGACCAAGAAGAAAATTACATCATTTTTTAAGTCAATGTTTTCTGGTTTGTTTTTTTTTTTGTGTGTGTGTCTTTTTAAAAAATCTTAGAAAGGCATTGTTTTATGACATCTTTGTGTTCATGTTTACTTTTTTTAATCAGCTGGAGCCAGGCAGTTGTAGGATATATGCAATGAACATAGTAGTGACCTAGGCAACAGCTGCTTGTTAGATTAGAATTAAAGGAAATTGTTATGTTTGACTTTTATTTTACTTTAAAAATTGTCTTATTTCTGATAATTTATTAAATACAGGACATGATTTCAATGATAAATTAAGAATAATGGATAATTAAGAATAAGGCTTAGCAGTTAAGTCTTAATTGAAAGAGCAAGATACTTTTGTCTAGTCATGCCAATTATCTATTACACTTTTCATACTTCAGAAGAGTATACTTTCTGTTTTATAAAAGTGCCTTACCAGACAGTATTGACAATTATGCTAAGTCCTGAGCCTAAAAATTTTCTCAGGAGAATAAAAGCATTCTACACTTTATTTTAAAGTGGAGCTCAGCGTTCTGTTTTGATTGTAATCATATCTTAAAACCATAAGGTTCTAAGAATCTTCAGATTCCTCTTGAAAAGGAAATTCTTATATCCATAAGAAGGAGTTACTGCTATTTTGGGGTATTGTGTGACACATCTCATCTTCTTTTAAGTGACTTGAAAAGATTTAGGCCTTGGCATAAATAATTTATATGGCATTTTAAAAGCCTGTTTGACTGGCTAATCTGCTGCATCTCTGCATAGGAAATAAAGATTTTTGTCTAGAGAATTTTTTCTGGCACAACATGGAAACTGTTGCTGAAGTACTGTGCCACATAAGGGAATTTTTCTCTCTGTCTCCTTACTTGGCCACCTAGTGGAATAGTCAAATACAGAATCAATTCTGTGGTGCTATTTAAACTATATCAGTAGTGTCTATGATCGAAAAGGAAGGCTTTTGTTTCTGAATCTGGAATTTTATATATTTTCTAAAGAAAATTATAATAAGAAAAGGAATTTAAAAATTTAACACATGCCATCCAAGGAATAATAATTATTTCCTTGAAAACTGAAAGTTCTTTGTAATACTTAATAGGAGTTTAACAGTTACCAGTTCAGTTTGCATGGTGCATAAAGTGACGCAACCCTTGGTGTGAGCAAGGAGCTATCTGAGAAACGACATTCCACCTTAATGACCATTCTGTGTACTGTCTTCCCTAGGATCAGAATTTGAGGGGTTTTGCTTTTGTGCCAGTTATATGAAACAATTTTTGTCACAATAGTTTAGGAAAAAAAAACCCATACTCCAAAGTATAGACTTCATTTTTGCCGGTGATACTTGGCAATTCTAGTTTATACACAGTACGATTTAGCATATAACATTTGGCTTACAAAAGTTACACTTCTTTGAGAGTTAGGTTTTTGTGATTGCCTGAATTTACATCAATAAAAGTATTAAATTTAGTTGAAAATAAATTGGCTTTTATGAAAGTAAACTTATGGCTGGCTAAGTCCCCTGCAAACGCCAGTAAACCTATGCTTACACTTTGATTAAAGTATACATTAAGCCCCATTTTTTATGTTTTAAAGCTTTCTGAACCTCTGCTGAAGACTACTACCATACTGTAGCATTTCTGAAGAACACTGATTTTGGCATAAGAGGTTCATCAGTGTAATATTTGGAAAGGTAGTTCAAAAATGGTCAGGTGGGTTTTCTGTATACATTTTTGGTTTTTTAAAAAATATTCAAAATTGTATTTAATGTGTGTGTTATGTTCCATGAAGTAAATATATCTCTAAAATAAAAACTATTTAAAAGATGGCTTTTTTTTTTCTTTGTCTGCATTTGGGACAAAGGTCTGTTTTCTATAAAACTTAACGTCTGTTTTAACTTACATAGTAATTTTGACTACTTCACTATATTGATTGCTAGTTAAAAATAGTTTGCTACATTGTGTATAAATAACCCAATGAATATTTGGAAAGTGACATAAATATTATATAATATTAGAGAAAAAGACTTGCATGGCAGGAGTTAAATAAATCCTGTGTTAAAATACCATCATTGTTTAAGGAAGCCTAAGTGTAATTCCTCAAATGGTAATTTGGTTTTTCACATATCCTAATTTGTTTTTTTTTATTATTTCTTTCTGCATTCAGATGCTGGAAATTCTGCAGAGTTCAGACAAGTGCATGTGAATACACACATGTGCATGCATATGTGCTCACATGCAGGGTTCCTAATTTTATCATCTTTTTGTTACTGTCTTGGTATTTTGACTTCCACTGCTTCACATTTGAGTGTGAACTTCCTGGGGGGGCGTTCTTTTATGTTTTAAATTACTCAGAATTTCCATCTGCTTTTACTTGACTTGTGGTTGTGAAGATCATGCTTGGCCCATGGGATCTTACACTGTGCCGAGAGGATGTGGAGTTTTGTCAGCCAGGGAAATATGTCTGGCTTTTTTTTCTTCTTTTTTTTTTTTTTTTTTTCAGCAGCTTTCATATGCTTCTCTTCTTGTGTGGTCCCACTAAACTGAGTATATTTAACAGAAATACTCTGCCTCTATCTTCTGTGTGCTGCTCTCTTTTAAGCAGACTATGTATGAGAAATCTGAGATACAAAAAATTTCAGTCCTGGCTGAAAACAAGGTAGCGTTACATAGAAAGGTACTTTAATAGTTGCACATTCCAAATTTATACCAGCATTCCACATTCTGGTTATACACAAGTATTAGTAGATCTGCAGTTACCAACAAACATCCCGATTATATCTTTCTTGAATATTCTGTGCTTTCTTTTTGCAGGCACTGCTACAATCTACAGTTCAGCAGCAAGAAACAGCTCTTGAAAAACAGTATATACTGGCAATTGAAAAACATTCTCACAAATGTGAAGAACTTCTTAACGCTCAGGTAGGGTGTGAACGTGCAAAGATCCTTGTGATTTTCTCTTAGTATCAACTCTTTTCTGTTTGAAAAAATACTAAGATATATGATCACCAAAGAAAATAATCAGTCTTTCACCTTGTGTTCTCAGCATAACAGTAAACATAAGTATTTGAAAATGCAAAACAAATAATCACTCTTCATTTGTTGGGATCAAAGGTGTTTTATAACATTTAAACCTGCTTAGAACAGATTCAAGAAGAGTGTAGCACTGAGAAAAAGTCTGAGCAACTTAATACTTACTTCTTTACCAGCTGCCAATAGTCTCGGAGAAAACATGCAATTATTTTTAATTTATGGAGTTAAAAGCAGGATTTGATTGTATGGGATATGCACAAGCTTTCAGTCCAAATTTTTGGATGCTTCTTAGATGGTAGGCACGAACATCTGTTGTCCAAATCTATTTTTATTTAATAGAAATCTTACATAAAAAGCCTCCAAACCTAACTATGAGGACTTACATAATATTCAGAAATAAATACACATAAATAGGCCTCTGTTGGCTCATTTAACGCGACTTGAGTAATAGCACACTGCACAAGTACATGGGATCACATCAGTTATTGGTGAGTGTCTGAACAGTGTAACCCTAGTTTGTTATTGAAAATATCTTGGTTTGACTTAAATACAGCTCTTGAATCAAAATAATCATGAACAGTAGTATATAAGCTTAAAAAGAAAAAAAGCTAATTTGCTAATAGCATCCTGAAGTTGTTTACGTCGCTATTGACAGTTACCTTTTAAATATTGTGAGCAATAAATCTGCTAAAAACACAAAGGATAATAGTTTGTTTATTTAATTTTCTTGGGGTATACTAGATCTAAATGCATCAAAAGCCCACTCGAAGTATTCCAAAATTTCCAACAGTGTTTTATGATCATTTCACTCTTCTGATCAGTTAGCACTTAGTACAAACATTTATAAAATATGTATGCACCTTTATAAACAATATGAAGGAAAGGTGTCATAGTTTTGAGAGGTCTGTTCCGTGAGGAGCGTGAGTGAGAAGTTTGTTGCACTGAACTACAGTTATTTAACGCTTACCATAAAGCTCTAGAAAACAAGTGAAAATTAGTTTTAAGAAAATATTCTGCACTTCTGAAATGAACATACTGCTTACTGACTTGGTATCATTTTCTCAATGTTAGAAAGGAATGAATCACGTAAAATCTGGAGGCATTATAGGAAGATTTTTTTTGAGGGTGTATTTAGATATTTATTTACAATATTTATTACAAAAATATTGCTCACGTGATCTGTTACATTTACATCGCAAACCAAAAGGTGGGGACTAGAAATGTGAAGGCATGTTCAAGAGGTTCAGATTTACCTGGGGAGAACCCAGCAATGTAAGGGATTCTCAGGGACCTATTCTTAGTCCTAGGACAGGAGAGTACTTGCGACATAACAGCGCCACGTTCACATCGTATCTACATACAACACCCACTTTGGATCCCCGAAAAGCTTTACATTTTGTTTGCAAACTTCCAAGTCATTTCTCATTCAACTCAATCAAGATTTACCACCTTTAATTGTAATATAAAACTAGGATTTTGAAGCCTAATCAAGTAGACAACTCTGTGTGCTTATGGTGCAACTACAAAGTTTAATGAAATAAGATTTATACCGGAAAATTTTGTTCACTCATAAATCTTTGTTGGAAGAGATCTGAGAAATGCATAGTCTGTTTTATTCTTTTTCAATACGGTTATTCTTAAATGTATGTTTTGGTGTTTGTTTTAACATTTGTTTTTGTTCAAATGATTTTGTTGTATGCAAAACATTAATATTGCTGAAATGATTACTAATTATTATATATCAACTTCAGTAATATTCTATGTTATGGGATTGTATATGCGTATCCACCTCTACATGGAGAGTTATGACTATCTATAACACTGTGAAGAATTTTTTTTGACGCATAAGTAAACACAGTGCAAGTATGTTCTGTATAAAACTATAGCTTCTTTCTTTTTTTTGTTCCCTTCTAATATTCTTGTCTTACAATCAGTATTTTGCCTTCAGACTTTTAAGCCTACATAAAACTTCGTCAACCCACATAATTTTTTTTCCTTATTTGCCATTCCTTCTAAATTTTCCACTGTTTTATTTCCAGTTCCACAAAATCAGTATTATCTCCTGTAATAACTCCTTCCTCATGCTTTTTCCTAATCCCATTTTCCTGTACCCCTCCATCCCAAAAACGTGGGATTCTTCTCCATCTGTGAGAAGGAGGAAAGCCTGTTTTTCTCTGCTTGTCTTTAACCTATGGTTAGAGTTTATTTAAGTTTCTGATTTTGAAGCTGTATTTTATCATAGCATATCAGTGTTTTTCCTGTGATGGAGATGCATGTTAAAAGGCTGTCTAGAGAAGTACCATACTGCCGATAAGGGTCAGCGTGCAAGGCTGTATCTTCCAGGACAGGGGAAGATGTGAAAGGTGTAGTTCTATGGCTGCATCTCAGTTTCCTGATGGACAGATTTCTGCAATTCATCTTTGATTTTTCCAGGTGAGGTTTTGCAGTGTGTCAGCTAGCTACAGGTAACATCATCATCATCATCATCATCATCTACATGAATTAACCATCAACGCTAATTGTCTTTAGTTCTGGATCTTGTTTCAGGTCTGCCACCTACCTTTTCACCATACTCTTCTAGATCTAACTCCATAGGTCTGTGGTTTAGGACATTGCTAAAATTGCAGAAGCTTTTCCAAAGTAAAATTCCAAGACATTTTTTATTCTGGCTCTTCTGACAGGTGCCTTCCCCACCCATCCCCAAGTGAGAAAGTTCTGGTGTATCTTCTAGTTTAGCTTCATCTGCATGAAGTTCAATATAATCTCTGAGTACTACACTGCCTGTCAGTGAAGTGTCCTCTGTGTTAATCATTATCGCTATCCATTGCTTTTGAAACAAACATTTGAGAGATGACCTGGTTACTATTCAGTTATTGTCCACAGATGCTATGTATTTTGCTACGTATTTCTGCATCTACCTTTTTCTTATTCCATTAATGTTCCTTATCTTGAATATCCAATCTCAGATGTCCCCTAGGTCTGGAGCTTATTCCCCCTTTCTTGGAATGCATTGAAAGGACCAGTTCTGTCAAAGAAATTCATGACGACTGTAATGGATGCTTCCTGAGGAACAATTTCTTGGGCTGCTGTTTTTTTCAACAAAGTACACTCTCAGATCAACATTTCAAATACAAACCAGGCATTCCCATGGCACGTATTCAGGGGTGTCGGGGTCATGGTGTCCTTCATGAATGAACAGGAAAATGAGAACTCTTTCCCTCTATGCCAGGAATCAGTCACATCATACTGTGAATATTTAGGAAATCAATGTGACTTGTACATTTCTAGCATTTGAGAATATCAGAGAAAATGTAATTGGAAAACACATCAGTTTCTTACAAGTTGGAAAATCATAAATTTCATCCTTACTTTTTGCTGAGACACAAACGTTTGATGTTACCTCCTGTAAATGAGCACCAACTTTGATCTTGTGGTTTAACTCATGCTGCATGAAAATACATATTGAAAAACATGATTAACGAATTTTTGAATGGAAATTTTTAATGCTCAGAAAATGAAGGCACATATAACAACAGCAGGTTAGTAAAAGTGCTTCAGTATAGTCAGGTATTGGTCAGTGTTAGAAGTGACATGCCACATGGGGTAGAAGAACATGTATCTTCATCATTAATATTAAAAACAAAAAACTCCAAACAAAACCCAAAACTAAACAGACATCTGACAGTAAAATTTATCTCTCAGTGAGATTATTGGCAAATCTAGATCATAGTTCTCTCTTCTAGTAAGTGCTAGCAGTCTTTTATGACAAATGAGGCATGGAAAAGGTCTACAGGCTATGCATACCTCAATTTTTAGCAGGAAAGAGCAGCAATTTTTGATATATATATAATTTAAATTCATTCAATATATGTCCTACTTATGGAAAAATATAGTTTCATCGCTGAGACTTCTTCACTAAATGGTTGCTTGGCTGGATGCTGGATCCAGCTAACAGAGGTCAGGTATCCCTGGCAGTATTCTGCTGTTCCATACTGGAATATGTGGAGTAGAGTGTCTTTCAGCTTTTCCTGTTTTCCACTGTTTGAATAGAAGTAGTCTTTTGAAACATGAAAGTAAGCTTTGCTTCTGAACATAGAGAAGACACAGAGACTGAGCAACTTGAAAAAGCACGAGCCATAAAAAGCACCATAAAAAAGATGGAGTGAGTAAGTAAGCACCTATTATTTAAAAGTGTTTACTATATATGACTAGGATATTCTAAGGAATTTTCTCATTAAGGTTGCTAGACCATGACACTGATAGTGTAAAAGGAATTACACGTTTTCACTAGAAGCCCTAGAAATTATGAAGTTTGAGAAATTTCTCTCACTGTTCCATCAAAATGGATGGTGTTATAAATGTAGACTATATTGAGGATGATTTTTATATTCTTTTTAAAACAGTCAATGATCTGTGTATTAGGGTAAAACAAAATCTTGAATACCTGCAGCATGTCACCTCTCATTTATGAGAAATCATTTCACCTCTATTTATTTATATTGCCCTTCTCTTTCCTTAGCTTGATGGTCTCCTTCCTTCCTGTTTTCTAAACAGTGTGAAACATGCATTCTTAGATAGGGAGGGATTAAAATATATGTGAAGTGAGGCTTAGATCACACATTTCCATCTCTAAATTATGACTTGACAATATTCCTCTTTTTCTCTACGTCTTCCTGAGGAAACAGTATCAATCAAAGAGATACAACTGGACATTTTGTGTACCGTTTTCTTGCTTGGATGTAGTTAAAGGGGATATGTGTTACTGTGGTACGTAATTATGTTAGTCTGCATATTTTCCATTTTGATTCATGTAAAAGAAGAATAAAGACAAGGAATAGAAGTCTTTAATTCTGTAGTTCAGTTGCATGCATTTGTCTTTAATTCTGTAG